TTAAATAATATGCAGCTTTTCTAGTCTTCCTGCTATAGAGGACAGACTCACAGTTTCCCACATTAAATCTCATATTTTACCCACATATTACTTCATCTACATACAGCTATTTGCAGACTCCTTATGTCCTCCTCACAATTCACTGAGGGAGCCAGAATGCAAGGCTTGCCAACTCATTAAAGCATGAAACAAGCATTGGGAAGAACTGCTATCAATTACAACTGTAACTGTTGCACAGAACTCTGTGCAAATTATGCAATCCATAATATTTGTGTAACGAGAGGCATTTGTTCTGGTTGTCTTAACCCATTCACCGGTCTATTAACATTCCCAAGGAACTAACATTACAACAGATACATGTTCTACCCTGTTATATAAATTGCAACCAAACGTTTAATTGCATTAAACTGAATTCGGAACACATCTACTAATTAGCTCTAGCATTCTATGCAGATGAAGAGATTAATGCCCATGTCAATTACAAATTTACTGCAGGACAATAGTTTGCCATTTTCTATCTGACAAGGATAAAACACCTCATTGGTGAAAAAGGACAAGAGAACAGCAAGCAAAGACTTTACAAACTGAGGTCTTGTCTGCTCATTACTGGCACTTTCACAAGATGACCAAGAGAGAGATTCCTGTGGATATTTAGTCCTCAGACATCCTGACTAAGACTGGATTATCTGCTTAGTATCCCAGTGCTGTTTTCAAGAGCTTGGTGTGCACATATTGGTGTTGGAACAGATGCACACAGTGGGAATGTCACTGCCTCAATAATCCAAGGCACAAGGTCAAGACCCAGAGATTCTGCAGCCGGAATTTCAAAGCAGAGTCAGGAACCAGACTCTTGGATTATTTCCAGGTCGTGCATTTTATAAAACATAAGAAATAGTGGGAGTGGGAGTAGTTTCACAAAAGTTATACAGCAATATGTAACAGGCAAAATGAGAACAAGAGGGGAGGAGGGGAAGGGGCAGAGTTTCTTGAGCAATTTGAAAACACTTTATAATTCTTGTATTCAGTACATTGGAAAATAGTAAATAGAATGCTAAAATACTTAAGCTCAAATTAGTGATGCCAAAGTCCCATTAAATGGTTTTGCAATGAGTTTTGCTTTCATTTTAGATAGGTAACTGTAAGACAAAAGACACGGAAATACTGAAAACAAAGCAGCAGCAGGAGTAGGCCATTCAGCCCTTTAAACCTGCTCCTCCATTCAATATGATCATATCTCATCATTTAACTCAGTCCCTTGTTCTCGCTTTTGCCCCATACCCTTTGATCTCTTTAGTCATAAGAACTATTTCTAACTCCTTCTTGAAAACATTCAATGTTTTGGCCTCAACCACTTTCTGTAGCAAACAATTCCATTGGCTCATCACTGTCTGGGTGAAGACCTTTCTCCTCAACTCAGTCCTAAATGATTTACCCCAAATCTTTAGACTGTGACCCCTGGTTCTGGACTCCATGATCATCAGTATTTCCTTCTTGAGTTTACAGTCTAGTCCTGTTAGAATTTTCTATGAGATCCCATCCCTCCCCTGATTCTTCTAAACCCCAGTGAATATAGTCCTAACCAATCCAGTCTCTCTTCATTTGTCAGTCCTGCCATTCCAGGGATCAGTCTGGAAAACCTTCTTTGCACCTCCTCCAGAGGCAGAACTACCTTCCTCAAATAAGAAGACCCAAAATGCATTCAAAGTCTTGATGAGTTCAGGTCAATGATGCTCCTTTGCCGACAACTTTCAAACTTCCAACTTCCCCCCGGGTCACCCTCCAACCATTGCCAGGGCAGCAGACAGATGTAAACATCACCATCTGCAAGATCCACTGCAAGTCATACAGCAGCCTCACTTAACCCCTTCCCCAAGCATCGTTCCCTCACTGTCGCTAAGTTAAAAGCCTGGAATTCCTTCCTAAACAAACACAAACCTACCACCTTGCCTTATCCCTTGCCTGACATCCAGTCTTGTCACTCAAGTTGTACTATTGTGTACTGAGAATTGAAGACCTTCGGAAAGTTGACTGAAGAATTGGTGGAAGAGGTGGTTGCTGAGGAGACAGACATACAGACAGACAGACACAGAGACAAACTGACAGAATGGTTTGGGAAGTGTTACTGGGTTTTGCGGACACTGGTGAGGTGAAGTTAGGAAGGGGAATGCATGACAGCTCAGAGCCAGACATCAGGGGAATGTTGAGAAAGATTTTCGGAAATGAATGGAGATGAGTCCTTAGGAGGATGGACACAGGTGAGGAGTTTGTACTTTTTGGGATGGGGCAACAGTGTAGATTATTGTTATTGTAATGCTGGGGCTGAGAAGCTTTGTGCAACTTCCCCACCACCAGTTGGAATCTACAAATGTGGGAAACGACACGCACACATAATCTCCGGCAGAACAAAGGCTCAAACATAATGACCAGGTTTATTACATAGTACCTAATAGCTAGTTACATTACATCAGAGATACACGACTGTCTTTCAAGAGATCAGACTCAACTTAAGAGTAAGCTTCCATTACTACTACTGAAACATTCTCACACCGCACTGGTACTAGCACTGAGTGGGATACCTCCTCCTTGGGACAATCCTTTATACCCTGATGGGTGGAGCTTTTCCTGCAATGTCAGTTAACCCTTTCAAGTCATAGCTGCTTTGTACACAGTGGTGCTTAACAAAGTGCTGCCTAATTGATGCTATAATATTACATTCTACATGACCAAGAAGAGGAAACGGAATTAATGGCATAGCTGCAGGATATTTAGTGGAGGCCTAGAATAATAGCTTTAGTCTTCCTTATGTTAGAGAGCTAGTGTTATGATCACAATTGATAGTATTATTGGACAAGATAGATCCCACAATGAAAACTGCCTCGATAGACTATAAGTTTAATTTGTGCCGTTGCTAACCACGATGGTTAGACTCTGAACATATTCACACAAGGCTGCCATTGTTCTTTAAAAAAGAACACAAGTTCATGGTACGAAAAGATAAAACAAATAAAGATACTTATGATCGTATCGAAATATTTTAACATAAACTGCAAAGCAAAATTTCACTTTACAGTCTTCAGGACTCAACATTGAGCTGAACAACTTCAGAGCATGAACACTGTTCTCCATTTTGATTACAGGTTCTGCTGCCTTTGCCTTTTGCTGCTGGCTCCCTCCCTCATCTCCCGCTTTGTCAACACCATAAAAACCATCATTTCTAGCCCCATTCAGTTCCAAAGAACAGTCATACATGACTCCAAACATTAACTCTCTTTCTCTCTCCACCTGCTGAGTTTCGAATTTATTTCAGATTTCCAGCATCCACAGTATCTTACTTTTATTAAAACAAAGTTTCAACCTATTTCCTAGAAATCGCCTTTACAGATAATGAATCCTAGTGAAGTGTCACTTCAGCTTAACTATATTTTTTTACTTAACTGACTCTTCATGCATTTAATAGCATAAGCACTTATTTCCAGTTCTAATGACCTAACCTATTTTCAGTTTTGACAGAACATAAAACAGACATCACAGAACAGTACAGCACAGGAACAGGCCCTTCGACCAACCATGTCTATGCCAACCATGATGCTATTCTAAACTAATCCCGTCTGTATCCCTCTATTCTCTGCTTGTTAATGTTTCTGTCTAAATGCCTCTTAATCTTTGCTAACATTTCTGCTTCTAGCACCTCCCCTGGCAGCTCTTCCTGGCATCTACCATCTCCAGTGTAAAAACCTTCCTCACACATCTTTAAACTTTTCCCCTCTCACCTTAAACCTATGCGCTCTAGTATTTGACATTTCCCACCCTGGGTAAGAGACTCTGAGGTCTTTTCCCCAGGGTAGGTGAGTCCAAAACTAAAGGGCATAGGTTTAAGGTGAGAGAGGAAAGATTTAAAAGGGACCTAAGGAGCAACTTTTTCACACAGAGGATAGTGCGTGTATGGCATGAGCTGCCAGAGGAAGTGGTGGAGGCTAGTGCAATTACAACATTTAAAAGACATTTGGACTGGTACGTGGGTAGGAAAGCTTTAGAGGGATGTGGACCAAACACAGGCAAATAGGACTAGTTCAGTTTAGGAAACCTGGTCAGCGTGGCTGAGTTGGGCCAAAAGGTCTGTTTCTGTGCTGTATGACTCTATGGCTCTATGACTATCCACCCTATCCCTGCCTCAAATTTTATATACTTTTATCAGATTCCCCCTCAGATTGAAAACCTCTACATAAGCATGGAGACTTACAAATTAAAACCCTCCTACTAGTGTGAAACTGTTCTGACCTAACCTTATTCTGGTCTGTTTTCTCTGAATGTCACAAAATTTCACCTTTCTAAACACTTTATCAATTAACACAATAGGCATCCTGCTGGGCACCTAACAGAAGGCACATGCCTTCTTGGAAATGATGTATTTTACATCACTAATTCACTGTTGCAAAATGAATTTATGGCCTCTTTTAAAAAATTGCCTGCATGCAACTGAAACTACTTGTCTACCTTATTTCTATCTTAAGGTTAAAATTCCCAAGTGATAATATTGTATTATGCACCTTTAATGCGCTTGCCATTCCAAGACAAACAGGTGAATAGTTTGAGTTGGGAGGGAGATGCAGCATTTTGGAGCCCCTACACATTTGACTACAGAATGGATGCAATGCACTGAGTTTCTAGTGAAAGACGTGTCTTTTTGGGAAGGAGGGATAAGACCAGGATTGTCTCAAGACAAAATGTAGGGACTAAAGTTCCTGGAGATCCTTATATATCTATGCCATTAGATTCCAGGTAAGAAACCAGCCTTCTCCTGACCCTGTAGATGGAGTTCCTGTTGAACAAGGATTAGTCTGTGAATGGGTTAACAAGTAAATGAACCTTTCTTGGCCAAGTTAATCTCAGTGAGATCATAAACTAAGTGAAAGTCGGACTAAAGGAGATATAGACATTCATTGTCAAATCCTGCCAGCCTGGAAACTAATTTCATCAGAACATACCAACTACCCACTCACCATATGTCAGATTTGGAATTGTAACCCTGGTGACTGAGGACCTCTGGACTCATGTAGTAAGGTGTTCCAGTGAAAGTTGTTGCCAGGTCACATGACCCCATCAGGAGGCGAGAAACTCCAAAGTCTCCTTTATTTTAAGAAAAAGAAAAAATGCTTTATGTCCAAGAAATCGCAACCTGGTTTAGAAATATGTGGTGAAGTTTTAGCATTGCCGTAAGTGAAGGAGAACAGATAAGTCGGACACTCCATTTCCTGGATTTTCAGCTAGTCAGTCCCGTGCAAAATACGTACACCAGACGCTGAGAGAAATAGGTGACAAAAAGATATAATATTCAACCTTGACCATAGACTCACTGACACCACATGGGGCAAACTGTGTCCCAGTTATCTTGTAAAATAGCTTGATTACAACAGTGCAATGGTAAAGGAGTCAACAGCAAACCATCACAAAGGTTAATTAAAAACTAAAAACAGAATACTGATAATGTGGAAAAGTTGCTTCCCCTTGTAGGATAGTCTGGGGCCAGAGGGCATAGTTACAGAGTAAGGGGTTACCCATTTAAGACAGAGATGAGGAGGAATTTCTTCTCTCAGAAGGTAGTGAATCTGCGGAATTTTTTTACCGCAGAGGGCTCTCAAGTCTGGGTCATTATATACTCGAGCAGAGATAAACAGATTTATAATCAGCAAGGGAATCAAGGACTGTGGGGAAAAGGCAAGAAAGTGGATTTTGGGATTATCAGATCAGTCATGAATGATGAAGTGGACTTGGTGGGCTGAATGGCCTCTTTCTACCACTACGTCTATTGTTGGAGATAGCAAGAACTGCAGATGCTGGAGTCAGAGATAAGACAGTGTGGAGCTGGAGGAGCACAGCAGGCCAGGCAGCATCAGGGGAGCAGGAAAGCTGACATTTTGGGCCAGAACCCTTCTTCAGTCACCCGTCTTATAGTTTATTGTGTAAGGTTTTTATCTCCTTCCATCAGGAAGGATATATTTGCATTGGAAGCAGATCTGTGCTACAGACAATGTCTCAACCCATAGAGGATGAGGGAACACAGTTTCAAAATTAGGGGTCTGCCACTTATGAGGGAGGAATTTCTTTTCCAAGGGTCAGTAACTCTTGGATTTCTCTTCTCCAGAAGATAGTGGAGGTTGAGTCATCGAATATATTCAAGGTTGAATTAGACAAATTTCAGATTGACAAGGAAGTCACAGGTTATGGTGGGGTTGGGGGTAGACAGGGAGGAAAATGGAGGTCAGGTCACTATCAGATCAGCCATGATCTTACTGAACGATGGAATAGGCTCATAAGGGCTGAATGACCTATTCTCATTCCCATTTCTGCTGATCTTAAAACACTGAGAATATTCAGCAGGTCTGGCAACAGCTGTGGAAGAAAAAATGGAGTTAACATGATGATGATCAGCTCCTGATGAAAAGTCATTGTTTGCTTTTTTTTTTATTTTAAGTGTTTCCAGATCTGGAGTGTTTGCCAGGATGTTGCCTGGGCAGGAGAATTTCAGTGAAGAGAGACTGGACAGACTGAGTAAAAACCAAAAGAACTGCAGATGCTGTAAATCAGGAACAAAAACAAAGTTGCTGGAAAAGCTCAGCAGGTCTGGCAGCATCTGTGAAAGAGAAAACAGAGTTAACGTTTCGGGTCCGGTGACCCTTCCTCAGAACAGTGTTTTCAACAAGGTGAGTCAAAGGTCCTATTTCTGTGTTACAGATCTCCATGACTCTACTGTTGGTGCCATTCACCCATCTGGATGATCTCTCAAATGAAGGTGCAGTCTAACCATATTACAAAATCCCTTGGAATGGTTCATTAAGATTTAGATTTGAAGCATGTCAAAAAATATAATTAACTAGAAATAAAAATTCTACAGATGCAGGAAATCGGAGGTATGCGCTGAAAATGCTGGAAAAATTCAGCGAATTTCATGGAATATGTGCATAGCTGACAAAGCAAGCATTTATGGCTCATCCCCAGTTGCCCTCAAGAATACTCAGCAGGTCTGGCAACAGCTGTGAAGAGAGAAACAGAGCTGGTGATCAACTTCTGACGACAGGTCATTATTTTGTATTTTTTATTTCAAATTTAGTGATGTGATCAGCTATTTCAGAGGCTGGTTAATGGTCCAGCCCATTGCTATGGGTTTGGAGTCACATGTAAGGACATCAGATTTCCTTCCCTGAGGGGCATTAGTGAACCAGTTGGATGTTTAATAGATGATAGTTTCATAGTCACCATTACCAAGACTAGCTGTATACTCCAGATTTATTAACTTAATTCACATGCCAGGGATTTGAACCCACCCCCTCAGAGTCTGAGCATTTAAATTGCTAGTCAAGCACTGGACCACTATATTGTGCAAGTGACTGAATTTTCAGCCAGTTAAAAGCATCTTCATTAACATTTTAGTTCTGATGAAGTCTGACAAAGCAGCTCTGTGCAAGAGACAGACAAAGAGTAGGAGATCCACTTAACACATGATAGATCGAACTGATTATGCACTTGTTACTGCATTTTTGATAATTTTATATTATAAACAAGTCTTGGTGCTTGTTTCTTTGTCTGTATGGGAAACCAAGTTTGTTAAAAAAAACGTCACTGTTGCTTATCAGTGAGATGCCAAATTTATCAAACCTTCCTTACTTCAACTTCGAAAAGAACATCAATAACTGTGTGTGTCCCACACACTGGCATTCAAATGTCAACTCAATTTTAATCTCAAAGTGCCGGAGGAAACAAAAATGGATATAACAGATCTTAAGCACAGATATTGCTGGAAAGTCTTAACAGGTCTGACAGCATTTTATGAAGGGAGAAACAAGGTCAATGTTTTAAAATCAGTTCTGACAAAAGGTCATCAATCTCTCTCTTTCTTCACAGAAGGCATCTGAGCTATCCCAGAATGATAAGATGCTTGCAACACAAAAGCAGACCATTCCACTTATCGAGCCTGCGCTAGCTGTTTGTAATTTAGCTTGTTTCACTCCCTATGTTGAGGATTTCCAGTATTTTTCAAGTCTTATTTCAGATTCCCATCTTCTGCGGTATTGTGCCTTTGTGTTTTAAAACAAATTTTGGATCCATCCATTTCCAGATTGCTGTGAGATAAAGTATTCTCTTAGGTTGTGTGCAGTTCTCTCAATCCACTTTATGCAATTTAGTACAAGCATGCCCTTGTTACTTGGCTGCTTATTCATCAAAGAAAAAGATTTGAGTGCATGCTGGGTTAACTGGGAAGAGATAGGTTATGCAGAACTTATAAATTGTTAAGGTTAGAAATGCACAATATACTATAGCAGAATTTCATGTCTGTAGCTATGAACTGTTTCAGTGCCAATTCTGAAGCACAGAATGTGTGCAAATGATAAAATGATAAGATGCCATAAAATGCTGGTAGCCAAAAGTAGAGCAAGTTGTCAGTGATGAAGGAAGTCAAACTCTAGAGACATAACAAATTTTGGCAGATAATTAACTGGTGCTTGATTTATTGGCATGACAGAAGCATACATTAGCCACATAAATGCAGATGTGCCCCAGCTCTCTCTCAAGTTAAACTTAACTTGTTTGATAAGATCAGGGAAACAGAAAATCTGAGCAATTCTTACCTATTTTTATGAGATTATTTTTCAAGAAGATATTGTTGCTTTTCAGATCTCTGTGAAGTATTCTTCTACAAAGTTTAACAACAAAACATATCATACAGTCAGAAGTGTCACAGATTTATGGGGGAAAAGAAGCTAGCTTCCTGTAGCTGAAAAGGACAACAAAAATGTTCAAATAATGAAATAACTATAAATAGATGCTTCCGCTCAAATTGTGGCAAGCTTTTTTGACGATTATAACAATGACTGCATAAGCTGTAATGAACAAATGCTTACTTTTCCCAATTAAATGTCTTCATCTGCTTGTTTGGAGCAGCAGTTTGCCAGCTCTCCAGTCGATGTGATTGGATAATTGCCTAAATCAGAGCCACATTCAGCTGTCATTGCTAAGAGCTTTCTTTAACGAAAGCAAAAGACATTTTGACAGCAACCCAAAAAATGAAATGTTTCTCATCTCCACTCTCTGCTCATGCTTACAAAATGTACTTGTCTACATGCCCAAATCTTCACTGCTCTGGAAGTTTGATTCTCTGGAGCACTAAGTGAACACAAGTTAGAAGTTCTTCTGTTAAACATATTGTGTTGGAAGTGATTTTTTTTTCTCCCTGGTGATTGAGAAACATTGCATCACAACTGCATAAGTAATGACAAAATGTAGAATTATGGAAAAAATGCAGTCATTCCTCATGTTCTAAACTCTTTAACGGAAGAAAATGGAGAGCATGTCACAACAACGGTAACTGATCTACCTAACCCTGGAATGCCTTCTTTTCCTGTTTCTTTCATCCATTGACCATGACCCAATTGAATATTGGAATTGCATCGAGGGACTGAATGGCTTACTCCTGTTCCTACGCTCCCTGGACCAGCAAAGAAGCATTGGACAAATAAATATTAAAATAAGTGTCAGCCATGACTCAGTGGTTAGCACGCTCACTTGAGTCAGGAGATTGAGAGTTCAAGTCCTCCTCTGGAGTGCTGGACACAAAAATGGAGGCTGACCCTTTGGAGCACCAGCAAGAGAGTGCTGCATTGTTGCAATCATTGCCTTTCAGCGGAGTTGTTAAACTGAGATGCCATCTACTCAGCTGAATACACCAATCTCAAAGAAAAGCTGGGGATGTTCTCCCTAGTGTCTTGGCCTCTTTTTATCCTTCAATCAACATCAGTAAAAAAAACTGACAACCCGGTCTTTATCACATTGCTTTTTATGTGGGAGCTTGCTGTGTGCAAACTGGTTGCGGTGATTACACTTCCAAAGTACCAAATGCTTTTTATAAATACAAGTATTTTTTCTTTCCTTCACCTAGATATGATCAAAGGCTCAACAAGGGTCAGACCATTGAGTATGTAGATAAACAAACTCTATTGGGATACCAACAATGTAGTTCTTTGGCCCCATTTTACAAGCAGACAAATTTCTCTGTAATTGTGGTGATGCCCCATTGTTGAAGGAAAGGTGCTAAGAATTCACAGCTTGATTTCAGGGCCATGAATAGTTATTCATTTGCCTATATAAAATCATGAAATGTTGATTTCACTGGATTAATTAAATCTACTAACAGATTATAATTCAATGCACGTCTATTAAGCACACTTTCTGCAATAGCTGTCACTAAAAGACAATAAGGAATGAAAAATGACTGCATTAATGGCTGCAAAATTGTTTCAGAGGGAAAGCAGATAGAGATGATACCTTTCATGCATGTACTGGGCTCCTAGCAATAGCTGAATGAACCACTCGATGACCTGGTTTTCAGTAAAGGTCCAGCCCCTTCCTCGATACTCGTCAATTCTACATTGCAGATCTCCACCCTGAGAATGTTTGGAACAAGAACAGAACCAGAAATTCAATTTTTACATCCACTAAATTTTGCCCCAGAAGCAAAGTCACACTGGAAATCTGAAATTACTAAAAACACTCAGCAGGTCAGGCAGCATCTATAGAGAGAGAAAGAGAGTAAACATTTCAGGTCAGAGGGAACAGTCCCCTTGTTCAGTTTATGAAACAATTGATTTTAACATACTTAACAGGAATTTGAATGATCAACATCAGAAGGATAGAAACATATAAAATAGGACCAGGAGTAGGCCATTCGGCCCTTCGCACCTGCTCCACCATTCAATAATATCATGGCTGATTATCCAACTCAGTCCCCTGATTCCTGCTTTCTCCCCAGACCCTTTGATCCCTTTAGTCATAAGAACTATATCTAACTTCTTGAAACCATTCAATATTTTGGCCTCAAGTGCTTTTTGTGGCAGAATATTCCACAGACTCACCACTCTCTTTGCGAAGAAATTTCTCCTCATCTCAGTCCTAAATGGCATATCCCTTATATTTAGACTGTGACCCCTTCATCTGTACTCCCAGGTCATTGGGAACATCCTTCCTGCACTTACCTTGTCTAGTCCCAATAGAATTTTCTAAGTTTCTATGAGATACCCCTCATCCTTCTAAACCCCAGTGAATATAATCTTAACTGATCTGGTCTCTCTTCATATATCAGTCCCGCCATCCCAGGAATCAGTTTGGAAAATCTTCTTTAAACTCCCTCTGTATCCTTCCTCAGATAAGGAGAGCAAAACTACACAATACTCCATGTGTGGGTATTCCAAGGTCCTATACAATTGCAGCAAGACATCCCTGCTCCTGTACTCAAACACTCTCGTCATGAAGGCAAACATACCATTTACCTTTGAAATAATTGCACAGAGGCTGGTATCCCATCACCAAGTCACCCTTTCTTTATTTCTACACAGCACACTGGTGTGGCAATCCAGCTCAGAGTCAGTCCCATGAACTGAGATTCTAAATCTGCAGGTTAGATTGGTCAGCCAGTCCTTTCCTGATTGGCCCAGGTTAACAAACCCAATCAAGGATCTCGTAGTCAACAAGGTTCAATCACTACAACCTTCCTCACCACCTACTGCACCTGTAATGCTTACCCTCAGCGATTGATGTACAAGGACACCCATGTCTCATTGCACCTCCCCCTTTCCTAACCTATCACCACTCAGATAATAATCTGCCTTCCTGTTTTTGTGACCAAAGTGAACATCACAATTAACCGCATTAAACTTCACCTGCTATACATTTGCTCACTCAATTTGTCCAAACCACAGTGAAGCATCCTCCTCATAGTTCACTCTCTCATACAGATTTGTGTGATCTGCAAATGTGGGGATATTACATTTAGTTCCTTCATCTAAATCATTTATATATATTGTGAATATATGTCCATGCACTGATCCCTGTGGCACCCCACAAGTCACTGGCTGCCACTCAGAAAATGACCCATTTATTCTTATTCTAAAGAATGTCATCTTTAGCTTTAATGCGTAAAGGTAGCCTTTCATTGCTATTTTGATGTTGAGAATATATTTCACTTTTAAATTCATAACTGGACTTTAAATGCACAACTTCTCATTGATATAGATTATTAAAGCTATTATCTGTACCCAGTGAATTTTTGAGAAAACGCTGGATTAATTATGGGAAAGGCATTTCTAAAGACTCTCATCATAAAAATCACGGAGTAATATGTTTTATAGAGATCAAACTGCTGTCATTTTGCTTTATTTTCATATTAAATTTCTTTGGCAGTGAGATGCCCACTCGGTGCCAATCTTGCTTTCTCCCCATTTGTTTCCCCATCTGTCTTCTAATGCACCTACAAAGCTGCCCTTATTGCTGGGCAGTGAAATTGTTCCAAACACAAAAGACCACATCCACAAGAGAGACCTTCTCTGGAACATGTTGCCAAGAAATTCCTGGGTTTAAGAATATAAGAAATAGGCCACTCAGTTCCTCAAGCCTAGTCCATCATTCCACAAGATTGAGGCTGATCTTCCCCATGCCTCAAATCTTCTTTAATGCAGCTCAATATATCTACCTCCTTTGTAAGTACTTTCAGGGACCAGTGGCTACTATACCTTAATGCTTGTTTAATAAAGTCAGAAGTCACACGACACCAGGTTATAGTCCAACAGGTTTATTTAAAATCACAAGCTTTCGGAGCGCGTCTCCTTTGTCAGGTGAAGTGGAGGGAAGCGCACAGGCACACAATATATAGGTAGACAGATAATGGCCAGATAATTCCAGGTGATTAACAGTGTCAACAGATCGGTCCAAATAGTGTGAGTAATGTGTTGACAGGCTGAATAACAAGTCTTTGCAGGCAATCAAGAATGTCAAACAGTGTGAGTGAAGTGTCAACAGCTGAATAGCAAGTGAAGAGATGATCTATGAACCGATTAATTAAGACAGAGAGAGATAATTACAAATAATCAAAAATAAGATGGCGCTTGAAACAAACCAAACGACAGAATAACATGAGTAGGTAACAGAGTCGCGTGATGAGGGTCTAACAAAAGTAATCAAAAACTGTACAAACTAGTTAAGGTAGGTAATTACAAGTAATCAAGGTACTGGTGTCAAAACAGGACAGTGAGGAAGATTTTACAAACACAGAACAGCATGGTGGGGTTACATGTAGCACGACATGAACCCAAGATCATGGTTGAGGCCATTTAATAAGCCCGATGACGTCATGATGATCCCTTCTCGTGGAACAAGGTATCTGATTAAACCTCATCTGCTGAGTCGTTATGAGATTGTGAAGAGGAATCCCGAACTTAGTTAGAAAACTTTGTTCCCCAGGAAGCATTGGCTGTTCATGAATTTCTAAACGATTTCACATAATATCAGATACAAATTACACCCATCATAGTAAAAGCTCAGTATGGAAAGCAAACAGCTAAATTTAGTAGATGGATTCACAGTTAAAAAGGAAATTTCATTATTCAACTCAATACTGACACTGAAGCCACTCGAGGATGTCAATTTGGATGATGGAGTTGAAAGTATTCAATGCTTTTATGACTTCCACCAACCAGAATGTTCCCATCAAAATATCAAAATACTGCAGACACCAGAAAGCTAAAGTACAAACAGAAAATGCTTTAGGAACACAGCAGGTCTGGCAGCATCTGTGGAAAGAGAAACACAGACAATCTTCCAAGTCTGGTATGACTCTTCTTCAGAACTAATGAGAAAGATGCAAAAGTGATAGCTTTGCTACTGTAGTTAGGTGGTGGGGAGCAACAGACAGAACATAAGAGAAAGCTAGGGGAAGGTTAAAGACTGAAGAAGGTTAGACACCTCAGATGTCACATAATAAAAGGCAAAGGGAATGCAATAGCTGCAAAGAAGAGAGATTAGGTCCAGCGTAGGTGTTAATACTAAGTGTTAATGTTAGATTAAGGGTCTGTTAAAAGTAACAGGATTCCTGTTCAAGAACTACATGGTTTTGGAATGATTAGGGACTAATTGGGAATCTCTAAGCAATTCAAAGGAAGAGTAACAATGCAATGATTACTTAAAGGAAACAATACAAGATTAATATGGAAGATTTACAGATTGGATTCAAGATATTTCATCCAGAATCTTGAGGAAGTCTGAACTGATTTTCTCCTCAATTCGGGACAATTGAAGGAGATTTTACAGAGATCCGCTCCTGGCCCTGATGAATCATTTGATCAAATGCATGCAATATTACCACCTGCTGTGGTGGTGCAGGGGGAGAAGAATTTACTCTCAGCAAACATAAGATAGTATTTACTGAGAACCATTTTTGGATGGGGGCGGGGTAGGTGATTTGAAACAGCAAAACTGAATATAACAATCTGAGGGACTAACTCAGGAAAGGCTGCCTGATTCAAAATGAACTTCCTGTCACCTGCTACTTCAACACACCACAATGTTCCCTGGCTAACATCTCTGTCTTGGGTCTGATGCTCTGCTCCAGCGCAAACTGGAGGAACAGTATCCTATTTTCCACATGAGGACTCTGTAGCCTTCAGGATACAATATCATGTTCAGTAATTTTAGGGTCTGAACACCATCTTCCTTGTCATTTACCCGCACCCCCACACTGCAGATCCTGTCATGGGCTGCTTTCAGCACAGCTCACCCGTTTTCACCTACTTATTGTCTTCACTATCAGCTTTTCCCCCTGGTTTGCCATCATTCATCCCTTGCCTGCTTGCCTTTGTGGAAGCTCAGTGGCTCAGTGGTTAGCCCTGCTGCCTCACAGCGCTAGGGACCTGGGTTCAATTCTAACCTCAGGCAACTGTCTGTGTGGTTTGCACATTCTCTCTGTGTCTGTGTGGGTTTCCTCCAGGTGCTCTGGTTTCCTCCCACAGTCCAAAGATGTGCAGCTTAGGTGGGTTGGCCATGCTAAATTGCCCCTGGTGTCCAGGAATGTACAGGCTAGAGGGATTAGCCATGGGTAATGCAGGGTTACAGGGATAGGGTAGGAGTCTGGGGGGGACAATCTTTGGAGGGTCAGCATGGATTTGATGGGCCGAATCAACTACTACCACACTGTAGGAATTTTATGATTCTAACTCTTGTTGTTCTTTCTCTGGGCTCCATCTCACCTATCTGCTCAGTCCTTACCCATCCCCACCTCTACTCCCACTTCTGTTGTCAACAAATACATCACATTTTCCCAGCTATTATCTGAAGGAAGGGTCACTAGACTCAAAACACTAACTCTGTTTTCTCTCCATAGATGCTGCCAGAGCTGCTGAGTTTCTCCAGCAATTTTTATTTTTGTTTCAGATTTCCAGCATCCGCAGTTCTTTGTTTTATTACATAAGATGAGGAGAATTTGGTTTGGTTACACCAAAGGGCCACAGCCAAAAATCTTGGGAGAAGTTTTACAAATCTTGGCTTGCTAACTTTGGGTGGTAATATATCAATCAGATATGCGATTGACAAACCAAATAGTAACAGGTTTAGATGCCCA